TTGGAAAAACAATTATACAGGAATGCCTATCATTTATACAGCAAAAATATAAGAATCAGAGTATGCTTGATGGTTCCCTAATCCCTTTTTACTCGGTAATCAATGAAAATTTTGAAACTAACGAAAATTCAGATCTCCTCAATTGGTTGTCTTGGCCAACTGGAACTCATAGAAATCTATAGACAAGTCAAAGCAGTATCATCAGAGCTACCACCAACCAGTGGGAACAAAGAAAACTCAACAAAACCCTTTGTCTATTCAATCATCATCTGAATCTGCAAAAATAAATAAACTCCTTCAACTAAAATATAGTACATATTTATCACAAAAGTATAGATCTGTAGACGCTGGAAATTGAGTGCAAGAACCAGCTACAGTCGTGATAGCAATCATAGCTATTAACATAACATATCATGAACTGGGAGGGATATAACATAAGAATATTTTGCAATTAGCAATTCAACTCGGTAGCCCTAACATTGATCCATGATCACACACATTATACAATCTAAAACAAGCCAATAATTTCTCTAGGTTATATTTTTTTCGGAAATCTGAAACACTTAATTCCCGCCTTCCTGGTAACGAGGCTACTGGAATCCCTAAAGATACAGGAATTGCAAAACTTTCAACCCAAAAGTAACATTTTAGATTTTAGATTGTGCGGCAAAAGAATAATAGAATACTATTCGGTGCAAGATAGAATGAATAAACTCCGTGGAACATATCCTAACAGTGGACTGGTTCCCAAACAAAAGAATAATTGAATATTAAGAATCTATTTGGATATAAGCTTAAAAACATTTTTTAGAGTTTTTTTATTGGAAAATACTCTTTATTTCCAATAGAAAAATTTTCAAAAACACTTCTAACGAGTATCCAAACATATTCTAATAATACAATCGATATGTATTGATGAAATCTGCTTACCTGATCTTATATCCTCACCAACTTTTCCCCTATTTTTCAGCTGCCTATAGATCATCGCACATATGAGCTTCCACCAGTATATATGGAAGATGAGCAGCATTATGAGCATTGTATTAAAAATATAGTAAAGTGACATATCAAAACCCTCTGATAGGTTTAAGCACTGCTGCAGATCAATGCTGGAAAGTGGAAACCCAGTTATGATAAAATGTGATTAATAAGTGCCTTTAAAAACAAAGTCAAATGAATATGATTAAAAAAAGAAGACAAACCTTGTTGCTTTAATAACCCAAAAAGGAAAGAAAATTAGCCGCAGTATGAGCCACGAAACTGCAAAGAATCCAAAACACACGCTTGCACCAAACTCCCTTCCAGAATACTTGAAAACCTTGGCAGCTTCCAAGAACACATCACTAGCATCATGAAGGGCTAGGATTATGGAGCCAACCCTAAAAAAACTGTAAATGCAGCATGTGTAAGTGACCTCTTCATAATTTCTATCAAAGATTTTAGTGTCAGTTTTTCAATTTTGATTATCTAAAAAATCATTCAGCCTGATATAGTAAAACCTGAAAAAAGTTCAAGTCAGAAGAAGAGAGCAGACAGAAAGAACATTCAAATCTATCATTTAGAAAAAGAAGATCTCGTCAAGCATTTCTCAGTTCTATTACAGTTTCCAAGCATTTACAGAAACTCAAATCTAAGACATAAATCTAACAAGTATTGACATCAGATAGTTTTAATGCATATACAGAAAGGTTACAAATGTAATTATGTAATACATGCCAGTGACATAAAAATATTGCAAAGATTGCTAAGCAACTTGTTAATGCTCTAAAAAAGGTATCTAGGACTAGAAGTTTCAAGTTATGTTTGGATTGGTGGAAAGGAATACATTCAATTCCAACCAATATTGCAAAGATTCTCAAGTTATGTTTAGAAGTTTCAAGTTATTGGTTTTAAGAACACTGCTTACAATTATGAATATTATTTGGGCAACAAAAACATCAAAATGACTAAATTCTATTACAGACATAAAATGTTAAAAATACTCTAGAGCTGATTAAGTTGTGTCATCAATCATGAGCATCAAATATGAGCCACCAAATTAGATTTTCCATGCTTGCGTAAAATAACAACAATAAATAACCAAGTTCCAAATTTAAGATTTATGTAGAATAGGCATAGTATATTCTTCATCTAAAAAATTAAGGGTAAGATATTTACCTTGTTAGATATGAGCACCCAATAAGTAAAACAGTAATTACGTGGTGAGTGAACATCACCGAAAAATCCTTCCTTCGAGTCTCCCATGTGAGAATAGCAGCGATGCTATAAATGTAGAACCCACACTCGCACATGTAGTAAAGCACCAGGGAACTCCTGAGATAAGACATAAAACGGTGCAATATAAATTTATGCCAACTTCTATTTACCACAACTCATATATGAGTACAATAGAATTATAACTTTCTAACTACAATTACAAGTTCTCCCCATTTGAGTTGGACTTAGACTGTCTATAAAACCAAATGGCAAGTTGCAACCAATGGCATTGAGTCAGAAGAAGCAAGGAGCTAAATTAATCATAGCCTATATAAAGTAGAAATCATATAAAATAGTTACATCATGCATTTGTTTGTTAAAAAATAGAGGAATATATTCGTATAATGCTTTGGAAACACTTGAAAACTTATTGTCATGGACCTAGTCGTCCATCAAAAAAACCAAAGACTATATTTAGGTCTCTTGAAGTTTTCAAACCAAAAAAAAACAAGGACCAATTGTTGGTTTCCTAAAACCTCTTACTCAAATTCCTCTCTTCCATAACAATTACTGCATGCGAACCCAGATTTGTATTATGAATAGGTTCAGATCTTCCATAAATTATGAATTATGTAAAGAAAATCAATGATGAAAATAAGGGTCAATGTGGACGTTTTCCAAAGAAACACAAAATCATCAGGTCAACAAATGCAAGCCACTCAATATCTGGGAAAAACATTTGTACTGACTAGACTGATTTTGTTCATCATGCTACATAAAATACTTACTTCAACTCATGATTTGGCCAGTCTTTGAAGTATAATTTCGTGTTACTAAACCAGGGTTCATGGTAGGCAATTTTAAGAATGAATGCTTCTACTGCAGCATAATATGTTAGCTTCCACAATGACTCGGAGCATTTTCCAATCTTTGCTTGCATTTCCTTAGTAATCCGTGAAGGGGCTCTTCCCCTTGTCAACATCCTAATGGCCAACCTCTGTAGACAACAACAATATTTAAAAATATCAAGAAAGGAATATGTTTAAAAAATAAAGGCATTAATATTTTTTATTCTAGTTGGAAAGTAATGTCATATTCTCCTACAATATCCTCAATTTTAACACTTTTAAGAAAGTATTAAATGAAACCCTAACTGCATTTAGAAAACATTTAACCTATCATCTTGAAAAGCCGGTATGAGATTGCACTACACTATGGTACTTCTTCACAAGAAAACAGGTAAAGGAAGCCAAAATGATATTTGTTAAGTGCTTTCTTTTCCTACTTTCTAACATGTGTCTCTCCGAGACACAGAAAAATAGCATGGTTCACAGCATCTATTCTCCACATATTTTGAGAAAAGGGATATTCTTCTAAAATCATTTAACAACAAATTTTTTTTTTTTCACCTTTGTTCCATTGATAAAATAAAGTTTACTAACAAACCCCAAATTGTATAGGGAACCGAAGATGAAATCATAAATCAACTCTGTAATATCATTCGTGAGAAGACTTGAACGAAAGCAAGATAACGCACAAATGGCACACTCAATTCATCAATCGGCAATATAAGCAACCGTGAGTGACCATCTGCATCCCAACATGAGAGGAAGTATAACTCATTTTTTGCCTTATACAAGCTAAAAATTACTCTTAAATGTCAAAAAGAATCTATGAATATCAATAGACAGCTTTAATTCAGCATAATGAGCAGCACTGCATTAGAATATTTTCTAAACTTAAGACATTGATGGCTCAATTTTCAATTGTGCGATTAACTCCAACTGACCGGTCAAGTTAAAGATTCTTTAATTAACTAATTTGAACAATTTCCAGTAAACTAACACCAATTCAATGCAACCAAAAAACGGGGGGAAAAAAACTCAAGAGAATTTGTGCTGAATAACTAATAAAACAGATAGTTTCAGCAGTTTCTTCCAATGAACCCTAAAACAAGAGAATCAATAAAACAAGCACAATCCAGAACTAAGATGTTTCTCTTCATTTCATTTCATTATGTATCTAATTAAATCTCTAACAAAACGGAAACAAGCTATCAACAACAATCCAACCCGACAGGGAACAAGAATTTCGGTACGCAAACAAAGGATCTTACGCGAAAGACGAATCTGTCAAGGAAGAACCTGGCCGCAAAAGAGGCGAAAGCGAAGTAGATCGCGGCGGAGAAATGCGAAGCGTGCGGCGTCGCATTGTCGCTCCACATGAAATCCATGGCGGATTGCGAAAGCTACAGTTTGAACAGAAACGCCGGAATCAGCTGCTCGGAGATCATGGCATTGAAGAAACGCAGGAAATTATCATGCAATCGCGTTGGACGACGAATGAGATCGGGTTCGTACCTGGTTTCGAGGACGGAGCAGTGGTTTCTCTGCGAACTGTTGCTGCAGCAGAAATGTGTGCAGAGAAACGACGGAGGGAAAGTGTGAGCGAGAGAGGAAGGTTGCAACGGAAAACACAAATATTGGGAGGGTTTGTTTGTTTTTTGTTTCTCGCCTTTTATTTTATAGCTCCTCTTTTTCGTCAGATCTTTCAATTCAATTGAATCTAAATTTCATTTTTCGGCGGGCCCATTCTGGGACCTTTCATCAGCCCACGTGGCATTGTAATGTATTTTTCCCCCAAAATTTAGCACTTTCATTGCTCCAACCATTTTCCTCTTCCTTATTTTACTTTTAATTTAACCACTTTAACTTTAAATGATTGGTCAAGTAAAATATACCAGAAACCCTCGTAACTTCCAACTCTCACTTGTCTCTTTGTGCAAAGTAAATATTCAATCCAAAGATTTTTTAAAGTAAATGTAAGAAAATTTATTCAAAGTATCTATTGCACTCAAAAACAAAAAAATATTTACCTTGAATAACAACGCTGTCTTTTGCCCCCAAATTTTAAAAAACAAAAAAATTAAGAACTTTAGCAACTTTATAATTTAATCGTAAATTATTTAAAAACTCAAAATGCGTTTCACGAGTTATAGTATATCTTTATAATTTATGCATTTTATTTATATTTATTTTTGTTTGAACTTGCCACAATTTATAATTGAATGTAAGTGTAATTATTAGGACATGTATTATTTATTCTAAAAAGTATTATCAACTTTTAAAATATATATTTTAGAATTGTAGGTAATTTTTTTAATTATAATTTAAGATAATGATTAATAATTAATTATTATTTTAATAATTATTTCTTAAAAAAACTAATTAATTTTTATTATACAAAATTAAATAATTGACTAGTATTTAAATTTGTGTAATGCACAAATTATATATTTATTATACAAAACTAAACTTTATAATAATTTATATATAGATATAAATTGTAACGACTCAAAAAATTATCACACTAATTATTAATCAAAGGCTAAACATCTTGTATCAGGATTAGAATTTATAATGTAACTAGTGACTGATATAAAAAATAGAAAAAAAATTTCTACATATCTCCATATCCCATTTTTTTGTTTACCTTTTTCCAAGCTCGTCTTTGAATGGTATATCATGGAACCTTTTCTCCCTTTTATCGATTTCTTTCATCCTTAGATTGTGTGGCCTAAATATAAATCTTTTTAGAATGAATGTTGAACTCTAACACTATTGAAGCCTAATCTCATCATTTTTCATTTCCAACCTTGACAACGTGCGTGGGGCAATATCCTTCCTTGTCAATGTACACATCTACAGCCTCTTCAATTGTGCTACTTAGTTATTGTTTCACCACCTACGAGACTGCTTGGTCAAACAATAAGGCACAATCTTACATTCATAACCTATTGACTGTAGACTTAATCCTTTTACAAAAGGAACTCACATAGAAAATCTTTTGTAGCATTCACTTTTAATTCCCACATTCTTTTTCTAAACTTGAACATGTTATCTTGGTTGGTTGGAGATTCATATATATCATTCCTTATTTGTCCTAAAAAATAATCTTTGAAGACTTTTGCACAAGATGGGTCATGTTAGTTGTGCATAAATGAATGGATGTAGACAAAGCAATAATGGAACACATATTCATCAAAGGCTGAACAAATAAAACAATGCAAACACCTCGCATTCATACCCACAAATAAAGAGATACGAGTGTTTGTTGTCTACTTTGTTCAAACAAGAGGTTAAAAGGGGGTATTGGAACCCAATTCCATGCAAATGCGAGTGTTTCAATCAATTGATGAACCCAACTCCACTTAACCCCAAAAATATGAAATTACCTCCTCATTTCATGAAAAACACAAAAAAATGAATGAAAAATGGAATGAGAAAGAGAAATCATGGGAGAAGCTTGAGCAACTACAATAAACATTAAGTCCTCTTAAAAGTCCATTTTTGTCATTTTTACTGTTGCCCATGTAAATGAGTTTGTTTTATACTCATTAGTGACAACTCATTAATGTCACACATAGTGTGAGGATTGCAACACTTGACCTAACATTGTGCATGAAAAATATATATTTTTTTGTTTCTATGATACTAAATGTCAAAATCACAAAAAATTATTGTTAAAATAAATAGTCACATCATTATTTAACGATAATGTTTAATAATGAAGACTACCAATATTATTGGAGAAAAAGTTTAACAACTAAGTGTAGTTAAATTTTTGTTTAGAAATTAAGTTTAATTCTAAAAATGATTATGGATTAAAAAATATTTAACTCAGTTTACTATATATATGTGAATGACATCGTATATAAATATATTTCAATTAAATTTCATAAGTATAATTACTCTCCCTAGTTTTAAATATTGTTGAAAAATCATATTTGTGTGTTTTAAATATTAGTAAATCTCAATTAAATTTATCTAATTTAATGCTATTATTATTAAAACACTCTTTTATTTAATTAAAATTGTATTTTTTAATAATTTTTTTATTCTTAATGCCAAGTGTAGAAAAAAGATATTTTAGAATATAAAGTTACTTTTTAAATAAAATTAATGTAATTAAATAATAAATAGCTTTCTTAATTAGCCTAATTTTTTTTGGGGGGGAAAAGTACCAAACACGGTCAATAAGAATGGTTTTGAATTTGTTTGTGGAGCTTTTGCTCCTTTCATTAAAAAAATACTATATATTATTGTTTTTATTCATATAAATTACTATGGCAAATATTAGATTTACACTTATAACTTTATATTTTATCTATAATCACGGTAGTTTAATTTGATATATATTTTTTAGACTATTATTTTAAAATTTTAAATAATAATAAATAATATTAAAAATTATTTTTTTTATAAATACACACAACTCAAATCTAAAATTTTAAGATCTGAAAATAATTTATAAATATTTTTATTAAATCTATTCTAATATATAAAGAGGATATTTATTTTAGTATTAAACTTAAAATTTAAATTCAAAATCTCAAGAATAATTATATATTATAATATCAATTAAATTAATATATTTGTATTTCTTAATTTTATTTTTTATTTTATTTTTAATAGAAATAAGAATTATCCACCTAAAGACACCAAATGTTTGTACCCCACTCAGTTTCATCAATGGACCCATTCAGGCGAAGTTATTCTTTTCTTCTAATAGTAAATAGTGGATACACTTTCCCAATTATCCTCATCGGGTCGTGCTAAATTCTAGGTTCTTGTAGCTTTGCCAAAGGTGATTTGCTTATACGTTTTCGTTGTTGTGAAAAGGATGGGTCATGGGTTAACCGCCTCCCTCTGCAATTACAAAGTGCAAAACTAGAAATGGGTGGTGTCAATGCTGGTTTGTTATTGGGGTCTTGTGGTAGCTTCCAGGTAAAAGTTCGAAGGTTTCGTGTTAGTAATGTAACTGCTTTACGTTACGCATGTGATACTTATTATAATTACGTTGGCTGTTTCTAGTAGCAAGCAAAGAGTTTTTTTGCTCCACCCTCCATAGTTTCTGCTACCTGTTACTTAAATTTCTAGTTTGGTTTAGTTGATTCCATGTTTGTTGTCTTTTTCTCGAACATTCTGGGTGTGGTGGGTTTATGCCCTGAACCCCCAAAAATAATAAAATTGAAAGAATTGTAGAATTTATATAGTAGTTCTCCTTAAGTTGCCCTCTTTAACTGCCTCCAAGTAACCAAAGACAGTTGAATTAAATAATTCAAGATTAGCTTATCCATGAATCTTCGTAATAGTTCTTACCTCTGGCCCTAATCCAAAAAAGACAAATATTATTGAGGGGTCTGTTGGCTCTTACCCTCTTAGTGTCTAGCTGTTAAAATTTTGCGTTTTGTCTTTCGGAAAGAATACTTAAACAAAAATAAGTCTTCCCGATAGAGATTAGTCATCAAGGAAGCAATTGAATATTTCATACCAATAATATGATTATGAAAAAGAAAATGCCGAGAAGAAGCCCCATGAAAACAATTTATGTTCGACCAAATGTGTGTATGTTGGTTTGTGTGAGTGTGTTTTAAATGAAGTATGTTTATTATCAATTGTCAAAATGGATGCCTGGTAGTTATTTGTTTTATTATTTCTAGATTAAACAAGTAACGGTCACAAATTAACCCCACCCTTTGTTGTCCATTTCATTCACTACAATCACTCACTAGTCACCACCATTATCATCATTGTTACCAATACAACTGTTGTCTCCTCCACCTGCACCACTACACTTACAACCACTGTTGTTCCTGTGTCAAGCCTAGTAGAGTGGTTTCAGACTTTCGGGTGACATTTGTCACACCAATAGCTCCACTATTGGCTAGTTTCTGTAATACTTGAAAGACACTTTGGCATCCAAGCAAGCGAAACAGATAGAGGAGCAAGTAAGTCTTTAAGCTAGAGAAATGACATTTTTGAGTACTGTTGAGGTATCCTTTATATAAGGACTAACGAGTCATAGACACACATCCCTTCTTGTGTGGTGGTGTAGGTTGCACCCAAATGTCATTACCATGATGTTGGGTGGGGATTCTGTTACACACTCAGGCAATCTTCTGATTCTAAGTGTCCAAAACCATTGTAGATGTACCTTTCAAAGCCAGTCCACTACCAGTCCTAATTTGGGTCTGAGTTTTGGATGGCCTGATATCGAACTTAGACCATTAATTGTTGGACTTGCAAGGTTGAGCAAAGATTGATTGGTTTGCTTGGTGTAGTGAAAATCAATTGAAATTTCCAAATAAAAATAGTAATAAAGGAAAGAGAAAGACAGGGAATCCTTCTAGGCAATTTTTGTGATATCAAAGCCATACTGCAAGTTTATAAGTTCAGGTATCTAATATCAATATTACAAAATAATGGGGAAATTAATGAAGTATACACACAGGATACAAGCTGGGTAGTTATATAGAGAAAGATATCAGAGGTTACTTGTGATTGACTGATAACAAATTACCTGTCAAGCACAAAGGAAAATTTTATTGTAGAATTATATGACCTACTATACTCTATGGCAGTGAATGTTAGACTTTAAAGGAACAAGGGAAAAAAGTGAGAGCAGTATGAATGAGTATGTTAAGATGAATGTGTGGTTATAGCAGTAAGGATAGTATAAGAAAAATTTAATACAGAAAGATGTTGGTGAGACCTATTGAGGAAAAGATGACAAAATATCAAGATGAAATGTGTGGTTATAGAAGTAAGGATAGTATATGAAACAATTAAATACAAAAAGATATTGGGCAGATCTATTAAGGAAAAGATGACAAATATTGGTTAAAGTGGTATTGCCAGGTACAAAGAAGGCCACTAGAAACACCAATGAAGAGAGTAAATCACATGGCTTTTTAGCCTTGCAAGGGGTAAATGAACTTCAAGGATATTGGAAGAAATTATTAAGAGGGAACTCTTGGTGAATAAGTCCCTGAGAATTTTCTTTTTAATCAAGCCCAAAGGTATATTGAGTGATCTATGTAGCCAATCTCACCTAATGGAATAAATCTATTATTGTTGTTTGGTAATACCCAAAGAATGGAGGATGAGACATTAATGTCAAATAAGATTTTCACAATGATCAGGACACTTGGAGAAATCCTGACATATAAGAGAGGAGTAAGGAATCTACAAGTGTGAGTAATCACTCAAGTAGTGAGAGTATCTCTTGTGAAGCAAGTGTTTATAATTTCTTGTAACTTGAATGATGTAATCAGATTTGTAAGGCAATATACAACATGGGGTGGTTTTTCAAGTTTACACAACTTAATAAATTACAATATTATTAAGATAATGAGAATTGTGTTGGAGCATTTCGGTGGACATAGGAAAATGATACTGAACGGCATATATCTTGTATCTTCAATTATTTTCATTGTCATATTTTATGCATTCCCATCTTTGATCCAAGGCGTGTTTGATTTTCTCCCACAGTTTTGTTGCGAGCTGGCTTAAATCACATGGTATTGGGCTTGGCTCAGTAGGCCCTAAGGTCCTCCAACTCCTGTTCGTTTCATCTAGTTTAGATTGAGTATTAGTATGGTTTGAGTATAATGCCTTCTAGACTGTACACTTCTTGCGATGAAAAAGATGTATCTTATTTACATGTTGGACTGTTTATTATTTCCTCTTTGTTTTCTTGGTGCATCTTCAAGTACTTCCACGTAAGCATTCCTGGAGCATCACATAGTAAATGTATTCTCTGGCCCCATGACTATTTGATTTTTGGTTTCTAGTTTGAATGATTTTATGTGTAGTTGAAATGTCTTCTCAACAGTAGACATAAATATGAAATCAATTTGCAAGTGTAATTTTGGCCAACTTTTTTTTAAAAAAAATTGTAGTATATAATCCTTGAACTGTTGAAGCAATAGTGTTATGGAAAGGGCTTGCAATTGATAAGATGAGGAAATGCAATCATTCTTATTGTCTCAATTTTTTCTCTAACATTAATTGTGTATTATAGTTTTGTGAAATTCGTGCATGAGCTTGCAATCCCTTTTTAAGTTCTAAGGCAATTACCCATTTCTTAAAGTATTTTTCTTTTATAATATTTTGAATCTGTGTTAATATTTGAGATTGCTATTTAATGTTTGAGCAGATAATGCTTTTAGATCCTGATAGACTGAGAGTTAGTGTAAAATTAGCATTAATAACTGTCATATCTTGTTAAAGTTTTATTTTTTTATTGTTCATGAAACTGTCAATGTATGGCAATAATTCTGGAGTATTGCTTGTCTGACTACAATCAACAAACTGACAATAGTTATCAGTAGCTTTCGTTTATGATATGTTGTACTGTTGATTATTGATAGTATGCAATTTTGTATCGTGTCTCTTCTGAAAAAAGTGGGGTTGTGAAAACTATGTGTGTATCCTCCATAGGTGCGTGGCCAACTGGATCACTAATATTTCAGCATGGCATATTCTGGTTATTGAATCATCTACTGATATTTTTCTCATTTGAAACGTAATTATAATTGTCTTTTGAAGATTATGTAGAACAAGCATGATATTTCTTAAATTGTATTTTATCGTTGTTGCTCTGTTGTTGCCCAAGTTAGTTGAGAAGCCAGTAAATTATTTAGCAATTAGCATCTTTGGCAATACCCTAAACTTAGGTTTAACTGTTTTAATCGTTTCAAATTATGAGTAAGTCATCACTTATTCAATTTTTAATTAGTTTATTTCATTATTTGAATGTTCTTGGAAAACTTGCTTCTGTAAATGTACACTTCATAAAAAGGCTACCTCTTACACCAATAGGTCATAAACATGAATAACTGTTGATGAAGCTAGTGGTGAGAATGTCAAAGTGATTCAATAGACACAGTAATGACGTTGACGGTGCCATGTGAATGCGTAGTTGTACGATTGTTTTTATTGTAATGAAATTGAAAGAACATTGTGGTATATAACAGCATGATGATGGGATGTGTATCAATTCACTTGCATATATATATTTTTTAAACTCATTTGATCTTGATAGTGTTGAAAAAACATGCTACAAGATATACTATAGCCATGTAATAAAGCAAGATGTCTACCTTCTATGCAACCTTGTTGTCTATAATGTAATATTTTAGGTAAGTGGTTTAATTTGAATATTGCTAAAGAAACCTGCTTTTGAATGCCTATTATCCATATTTTAATTTTAACTCTCTTTTTGGTTGGCAGGACCACTACATTTTGAGCTGCAATGTTGTGTTGAATTACATATGACTTGATAATCACTTTCTCTACCTGGCGACTGTAAAATTTTGGCTGTTCTGTTGTTTGTAGACATTAATTGCAAACTGACATTTTTCAGTTATCTTCATCATATCTGTGGATATTTGTCTTAATCTAAATCATATTTATCTTTCGCTTATTTTGTTTAAATTTTCTCCTACGCAAATTGTGGGATTTTCACTCAAATAAATTGTGGTTCATAAACAGTTTGAGTAGTGATGGTTTTTGCTTCTATGAGATTGTTCCATTTCTGGGACCACGATCAGGAGACTATTTTGAAGTATAGGCACAGCAGAAATTTGTGAACAGAGACTAGGATAAAAAGAAAGGGTAATCCTAGACTAGAATTCAAGGAAGCTGGATACGGAGACTATTATGAAGTATAGGCAAAATATAAATTTATGAATAGAGACTGAAAGCCTGTTTTGATATAATCTTAGAAGTGTTTTTGAAAATCTTTGTATTAAAAATAGTTCTTTATTTTCAATAGAAAAGTTCTAAAAATTTTCTGACTTGTATTCAAACATACTTTAAGATAAAAAGAAAGGGTAATCCTAGACTAGAAATCAAGGAAGCTGGTGTGGTCACAAGGGAGAAGTTCCCTTATACTACTTTATGATATTTTAGGATAATATAACGCATTATTATAAATAATTACCTTTTTGTTAGACAGGTAGTTTTCTCATTTTAAAGGGAAAGAAGATCAGGTGGGAATCAAAGCCATGACATAAAATATGAACTGTGATAGAGACACTAGTTGGTAGCATATGAAACTATTAGTGCTGGTACCACAAAATAGACGGTGCCCTTCAGAAAATAACTTTTAGTCCACTATTTAAATGCAAACACAGTTGCAATAGCTTCAAAATCTCCAACCAATCCATAAGGTCCAATAATGTGATGTACTATTTTGGTCCCCGCCTCTCCACCAAACCTGAACAGGCTTAATGCCCTAGAAAGGTTTTGGATCCCTCTGGCTTAGGGCATCTCCTTTTTCAGCCGGCTAATTAATTAGCAACACGTGGCTTTTTCATGATCACACCTTGTGACTACTACGTGAAGCAATGTGAAAGATCAACCATGCGAACATAGCCACGTTGCATTTTGAGTTGATTATGGTAGTGTAAATTTTTTTCGCGAGATCGGTGCTGGAATTGTTTCCACTCTAAAACTATGCACGTTGCAAAACCCATTTTAGTATTATGTGTGTTCTGAATCTGATATACCATTCTTTGTAAGTTAAAATTGTCAACAGGTATGAGAAGTGAGATGGAAGGACAATAATGAAGCTATACTTCGTACTATAGATCCATGACTAATCTTGAAACTATCATGGGGGACCATACAGGGTCCAGTGTCCTGGAAAATCAATAAACTGGAATCCAAGACAAGTTTTCGACTTAGAGAAGGTTACATTATAGGACCATACAATAGAGCTCAGAGACTAAATTATCATTAGTTGATTACATTTATTATTGGTACCGCTTACAAGCTCAGACTAATTAATGATACTAAACTATGCCACCATTTACTTTACAAATAGGATAGACATGATGTTACTCGGAAGAAGAGACCAATGTTCGAATCCTCCCTCTAAAACAGGAGGTTGGGCTGGTTAAATTGGGGTGGCAAGGAATATCTAAAAATTTTATATATGAATAAAGGAAGATTTTATCATATGACACATTTGATTCTATTCCTTTCTCCAAAATCTTGTAGGTAGACCATGCAGAGGGACTGGGAATGGGCTATATTGGATTCCATTCTGATATCCCACTACTTCCCACCTGCCATCCAAATAATTGAATGAGGTTAATGGCCACTCTGATGATGTAAATGAATTACAAGAAAAAACATATCAAAATTTGAGAAAATGAAGTTGAAACTTTACCTATATTTGGTTACTAGATGATGAATTAAAACCAGCATGTTCAATTTGGCAAGCTCATTTCCTGGACAAGAGTGCACTCCGTTGCCAAATGGCATAAAAGTATTGGGCTTTGGAGCAGCCTGCAGCCATAAACAGTTGAAATATATTTGTTCAGAATCAGAAGAATATATAGGGTTTCGCTTTTTTTGTTTTTTTAAATATTTGTTTGACTAAGTGGTGGACAAATTGATGTTGAGCATCAGCATCTGCATCCCGTACCTCAAACCTTGATGGGTCAAAATTGTGAGGAGCAGGGTGGAATTCTGGATTATGATGGATGTTCCTGAACAGTGGCATTACTTTCCAACCCTTTGGTATAAGATATCCTTCAACAGTTGGACCAAAGAACATTTTAGAAATCATGTAGGAAATAGTAAAAGCTTTTGAAAATTAAACTTCCCTTAAGTGTACAGTTAAAAGAATATTCCTGTTCAAATTCTTACCTATGTACACCACATCAACCACAGCTTCCCTAAAAGTAAATGATATGATACTTGCCATCCTAAGGCTTTCCAAAATCACCTGCAATAATGAGAAATATATTCACCAAATTGCTTTCAAATTAAACCAAGACATGGAAGTGTTATGAATCACATTTACAGCAGTATATAATATACCATACCCTATGAGTAATTGGCATATTTCTGGTCTGACCCCATGTCAATGGCATCTTCCCTCCTTCATTAGCTTCATATAATGCCATTTGCTCTGCCTGTAAAACAGTTCCGTTGACTCATTAATTAGCACAACTTTTCAACACTTGTGGCCTACACGGATTTGGAAAATCTTTTGGGAGACAAAAACTATTCTTACTTTTATTGCTTCAAGAAGTTTCTGGTCATCATGAAGATACTTGAGAATCCAGGTTAGAACACTTGCTGTAGTATCCTGAGCTGCAAATAGTACCCCAATCACATTATCAGCGATTTGGCCATCACTTAGCGTTTGTCCTTTTTCATCCTTGTAGTTCAGCAAGTGGCCTAATAGATCCCTCTCCATCAATCTCTGCTCCTTTCTTTTACAAATTATCTCACTTATAATCTCTCTGATTCTTCTCCTTGCCTTCAAATCATTTCAAAAAATATTCATCAGAGAGAGAAACGACACAGAATCTGATCTCAAGTATCAAATGATTTTCTTAGACCAGGAGTTAGAAACCATATATCATAAAATAAAGACACGTATTATCATCACATTTTTTTACACACTTATTGTAACACATTTTTTACTTATTAAAATTTATTGAATATTACAAAATAGAGTTAAAAATGTGTTGTTAGATGGTCAGAGAGTGTATTATGACATGATTAGATAAACTTTCTTGTGAGTACTTCAAGGAGAAAAAATAAAAAGAAAAAATGAATGAAACCTCTTCATGAGATAAAATTGGCTTAAAAACCATATTTTGAAAGAGTTAATACAAAAGTATGCAACTAATTTTAATTATTGAAACACTTTTCATTTTTCTCTCTAACCATTCTTTTAGAAAAATTTATCCAAACAGATTCTTACGGGGATTCCTCTGAAATAAACGAATGACTGCAGCTTACTTACCAAGAGTGCTTTGGCGTATGCAGTTCCGGGAATCCTATTTGGGAAAGAATTGTACCCTTTTTCTACTATGCAGTAGTTTTCCTTAAGCTGATTTCTATAATTTCCTTCCAAGTGACCAAAGACAGAGAGGATGCCGATATTGAAAGAGAACTGCGAAGAGTTAAGCAAAACCATGAGTCACGAAACCGCGATCACCATGTACAATAACAATAATGGAGGACCCAGTGATGACAAGAAAATTAATGAGGAACCAACAAATGACAAAAAAGTTGAACGCCATGCAATAAAAGCATCGAATAAGACAATAGGTGAACCGAAAGTAGACCCACTAGAACAGCAAAATGAGGCTCACAAACTCGAAACACATCATATCATGTCAAAGACATGTACACCAACCTTTTTCATTTCTTGGAAGGCGCTGATGACTCGTCCAGCGGAAACCCACGATTCCAAGGAGGAAACGACCTCGTTTTGGATGTCGGGGATGAGTTTTCTGATGGTTTCGGGAGAGAGAGAGGTTTGCACGAGCTTTCTGATGCGAGTGTGGTAGTCTCCTTGGTGAAAGAACAATGCAGAAGGGCCTATTAGCTTCTCTTTGCTTTTGGGGTATGTAGGTTTGAACAAGTGAGCGTGAGTCACCAACACAAACCGTGCAGCCTCGGGACTCGCCAGCATCACGCATGGACAACCTAGTATGTGTGTCTTGAAAATTTCTCCATATCTGATTAAGAATTTGTAATATTATTAAGTTAGCATGCTTAAGCTCCATGCAAAAGAAAGTTAGAAAAAAATGATCATAATTTAATTCATGTGGACGGGACCATATATGTATATATATATATATATATATATGTTAAGAACCTTTTTTGCTTTGAAGCAAAGAAGATGTTAGGGTCCTGAGAGTAGAGTTGAAGGGTCTCTCCTATGTAAGGCCAACCCATTGAGCCAGGGGGAAGCTTAGGCTTAGGTATGAGTTCGTGTTTCTTGTGTTTCTTTATGAATGGGTAGGAGAGAAGGGACGAGAGGAAGAGGAGAATGCAAAAGAAAATGGCGAAAATCTCCATACACAGTGTTGCGTAGCAGCTTCTTGTCTTTAGATTATATGGAAATGACGCAAAGAAAGTGGTTGGTGTTGGTTTGATGGGTATTGGAGTCAATGAATGTTCCGCTTGAGTTAAGCTTGGCTTATATAGAGGCAGCATCACATCATGGGGGCACAGGTCTTTGTCTAACTAATCAAATTTAAAGGAGAAATCTCCATATATAATCATTATTTCAAGTATTCATATTTAATTTTTATTTTAACCAAAACGTTCAGCACTGCTACTGTATGGAATACTGCGGAGGGGGCAAGGCAATGAAAAAGAGATATCGTTTATTTATCGCGTTTCAAAAAGCACAGAACATATCCAGGGAGCAAAAAAGTGGAGTTACACGTGGATGACCTATCATGCATCTAACTCATTTTTAACGCAAAATAAAAAATAAAAAATTCATCTAACTTATTGTAGATCAAATTAATTTATTAAGCTTATTTTTATTTAATTAATTAAAAAATTAAATATTAATAAAATTATTTAATTTATCAACAAGTTGTTAGTCTGAGTGACTCGATTTCTTTAATAAAGTCTCGAATTTGAGTATTATGTATGAAAAAAATATTATTGATAGAGAAGATTTCATTAAAAGTAATTAATCAAATTTTTCAAAAGAGAATAATCATTGGTAAAAACGGTTGATATATTTTAGTAATAACATGGTTATAAAAAAATTATTTGACTTTAATAGGGTGATTAGTGTTCTAAAATATTATTATAATGTATTGTGATAATATATTTATTAATTTATTTAAAAATTTAAATTTATATATTTAAACTTGTTTACTAATGGGGTTAGTTTAGTGGAAGTAGTTAGTTCTCATCACTGCATGGCCGATCTACTGATATTCGAATTTTTGTTGAAAAGTGCATTCATCACTAGTACAAAATATGAAATTTATGTCACTGTATTTTTATCGGACAAAGAAAAATCTGGCGTTAAAAAAATGCGGTGGCATTTTTAAAATTATAATCAAGTTTTTTACGTCAGACCTCATAGGAGCCGACGTAAATTTGAAAATCTACGTTGAATATAGCTTGTATCCGACGTAGATTTTCCAATTTACGTTAGCTCCTATGAGGTCCGATGTAAAATATCTACAAATTTCCCCTGCGCCACTTTCTCTTCTCCCGTGCCCTAAGAGCTTTGAATTATATATATCCTGAGTGTATGTGCAAAATGAGTCTTCTGAGTCAATATTTTCGTTTGAGTGTATTGCATCTGAGTGTACATTTGGGCATTTGAGTGATTCTTGAGTTTTTGACCGATTGCATTGGGCTCGCGTTTGAGGTTAGTTTGGAAAATTCTTTCTTAATATATTAACTAATTTGTTAAAAATAAATGTATGTATTGATCTATTAATATATTAGTTAATATTATCCTCTTCTTTGCGTTTGGGTGGATCATCCTTTGTTAATATATTAGTTAATATTATGTGGAACGGCCCGTTCTCCAAGCAGAACGGCCCGTTCTGCTTGCACTCGTTATGTTTTTTTTTTTGTTTACAACTTTTTTACGTCGGGTCTTGGCAATGTTCGACGTAAATTTACGTCGGCTATCATAACCAACGTAAATTTACGTCTCTCACATTAACGTCAAACTTTTTTCTAACGTAAAAAACTTAAAATAACATATATAAATTACCCCTTTGTACTAGTGTACATTTAATATAGACTTTATCTTAAATAAATTTATTTCTGAGAAAAAAATACATGTGAAAAGAAAAAGAAATTTTAAACTTTTTTCTGAACCATGGTTTGATCCACAGTAGCCTTTAAGGTTGAAAAAGCAAGCTAGCCCAATATCCTACAAGTGTAATATACTTTATTGCCTCGCATATGTCAAATAATAATAACTATGCAATTCATTAAGTCTTGTAATGTTACACTTTCTACCCTTACATATCATAGGATATAATAATAAATTAAATAGGAACACTTGTCATGAATAAAAATATTGTATTTAACATAGAAAATATCACATTTTGTCTCAAATTAAAACAACAAAATTAATTAAAATTATATTAAAATAAGGATTGTCTCAAAATGTAAAGGACTGAGTTTTATCACCAACATTCTTAACATCATATTGAAGATCGCCTATAACAAAATCAAAAGAACAACATAAAACAAAGAAGAGTGAGAAACATCTCACTTTGGCTCACGATATAGACTGTAGCCAAATAACCAAATACAAATAAGAGACAAAACATGAATGTAGCTCTAAAACAAACATGCTACAATTATCTATAACATAATAAGCCAATAAAACAAATTGTTCATATGCACTTTGTAATGGACACATATTACATTTAATCATGTATGTGACACTAGTAAAAACATCACATGGTGTATTGTCTCAAGCAACACATAGTGTAGTTTAGCAGTATATGTTGGATCATACTTTCAATACACTCTCACTAGAATGATATATTACCTGGGTCCAGCAAAGTCGCACAAGTTCTATCCCATACACACAATGGATAAGACTGGGCTTTCCAAACCTGACTGTCGCTAAGGATTGATTCCTAAGCTTTTCCGTGAGGGGAGTCTTTCCTAAAGGTGTATTCCATATCATACCCTGATACCCTTAAAAACATTTGTGCATATGATGCATGTCAACAAGACTATATGCATTATCATATCACATTATGCATATGATACAAACAAGACTCTATGCATTACACATATAATTACATATCCAAATAACTTCTTTATACAATCACTAATGCATTTCTTTAGGGTTTCCCACAAGAACACCAAGATAGACGATTATAGACCAAAAACATGAAAATAGAAGCATATACATACCATTAACACCAATTAAAGCATTAAAGAGTAATAGAGAAGACAAAGACACATTTTGAATAAATCCCTCACATGCAACACATACAACAGAAATAAGATTGAGGGTTAATCCTATTACCTAACATACAACCCATGTCCAAAGCAAGATTACTTACTTCTCACTTACCTTAATGAGTGCTAGAAGACAAACTTAGATCTTTGGGATGATTTCCCTCATACTCAAGTTTTCCGAAGTTTGAAGTGTGCAAGCATACATGAAATAAAGAAGGAGTTGTAAAGAAAATTGTTCAAAAATTTTTTTAAAAAAATAAAACTTAACTCCCATTTAATCTCATAGTTAGAACATATTAATTATAGTTACAAAAAACTCTTCCCTTAATTAATAAAAATAATAATAACATAAAATATTTAACTATAAACCGTATAATATATACATATTCATATAAAAATAATTAACATAATTATTAAACCAACTCATTTAATTAAAATAAAATATCATAATTAATAATTAAATAAATATTTTTAATATGATACCACAAATAAAACATGATAGTGTAAATTCCCTAGTCTTGGTGTATTGATAGAATTGAAGAGAATGAATAAGAATTTAGTTTCAACATGTTATTATTATTGTAATTTTTATTAATAAAAAGACAATAAAGCTTGTTTCCATATACTCCACTTTTGATTTTAATTTTTAAAGGATGTTTGTTTCAAGTTTATTTTCAAAAATAATATTTTAAAAAATATATGATGAAAATGATATTCTTGTGTATTTTTTTTTAAAAAAATATGTTTAGTAGTGATAAATATTTTTGCGAGAGTGAGGATAAAGAAAGTTAAAATAAAAAATTTAACTGTGATGAAGTTTTTTTTTTTTTTACTTAATTATGAGAATCAACTTATCTATCTCGTTTCTTAGAAATAAAATTTAGGAATAAAAATTATATTTTTCTGACAATTAATATTTTATATATTACAAGAAATGTTACATATAATGTCATAATTTTTTTTTTTACTTAATTATGAGAATCAACTTATCTATCTCGTTTCTTAGAAATAAAATTTAGGAATAAAAATTATATTTTTCTGACAATTAATATTTTATATATTACAAGAAATGTTACATATAATGTCATAATTTTTTTTTTTACTTAATTATGAGAATCAACTTATCTATCTCGTTTCTTAGAAATAAAATTTAGGAATAAAAATTATATTTTTCTGACAATTAATATTTTATATATTACAAGAAATGTTACATATAATGTCATAATTTTTTTTTTTACTTAATTATGAGAATCAACTTATCTATCTCGTTTCTTAGAAATAAAATTTAGGAATAAAAATTATATTTTTCTGACAATTAATATTTTATATATTACAAGAAATGTTACATATAATGTCATAATTTTTTTTTTTACTTAATTATGAGAATCAACTTATCTATCTCGTTTCTTAGAAATAAAATTTAGGAATAAAAATTATATTTTTCTGACAATTAATATTTTATGTATTACAAGAAATGTTACATATAATGTCATAATAAAAGTGTTATTATAAATACACAATATGTGTAAGTATAAATTTATTTGATATATAACTATATATATAATTTTAAATAAAATTTAACAATATATATTATGTGTCACTATAATTTATATATATATTTTTAACAATATATTGACATATATTGTACTTATAGTATAGATAAAAATAATTTTTAATGACAAATACGATGTCATTATAAGGTGTATCATTATGTGATAATTTTTTTAGTGATATTTAAAAATAAAATTTATAATCTTATAACAAATATAGAAAAATACATTTCATTTCCATATATTTCCAAAAATAATATATGATAACTTGAAACAAACACATTCTTTATCAGTATTTCCTATAATACCAAAATCCTTGTACATTTAAAATATCTTACTAAAAAAGTTAGATTTTTAAACAAGTTTTTGAATTGGGTTAGGGATTTAAAAAGTTTTGCTTTGTTTTTTTTAGATGAAGGGATTTAAAATGTTAAGACACCTTAAAAAGGACTTGTATATTTTTATAAGAAAACAAATATTATTACTAGGAGCACAACTGCACAAGGATACTCTCCAACCCTTCAATTTGAGAAATACAGACTTCACTCAAACAAATTGTAAAATCTAATTTAACCTTAAGAATAGAAAAAATAAAAATATAGGAGTTTTTATATGTTTTTTTTAGGCATGGACCGTGTTTATGTTTAGATGGTTGATAAAACAAGAGAAAAATTTAACTACGAATTTTATTTTAAATACTCCTAATATG